AATCATGCGAAAATGAAGAAAAAAAATTATTTTAGTTCGAAATTTCAATTTATTTCTAATGGAGAATATTTTGTAAAAGATTTCCAGTTGACATCTTTAATTAAAACGACCACGTCATATTGTAAGAGACAGATAAATTGTAGGAAAACATTAGCAATCTTTTTATGAACTTATATATATTAGAGTTAAGCCTGATGAGATCGAATCGAAAACAATATTGTTCGCTTAAATGTGTTGTTCTAAATTTTACTATGGGAATATTTAATATATTGAAATCTCGCGGGGATCCTATTGCATTTAAGGCACTCAATGAGTACCTGAAATTTAGTGCAAGGCTCGCTGAAGCGAAACATCGTTGGAATTTTTCAAAGAATGTGTAGAAACCGAACGTTATCCCAAACTATATTGGAGGTCGTTAAGACGAATGAGGATTTATCCTAATTCTAAGAATTTAAAAAGACATGCTCTTAATCAGATTGATTCTGTTAAAACTCTTATAAATGATCTAGAAAGGAATATATCACAAAGACAATTTTCAGTTGATGATTTACCTCAGGAATTACAATTGATGTTCATTGAATATGTTAATAACGTAACAGTAAACAGAAGTAATAATAAAAGGATTAGTCTTGTCAAATCTCTCGAAAGCCAAAAGCTTGAAAGGAAATTTCCGTCAGATCCGGGCCGGTATGTTCACAATTTTTCCAGTATCGTGCTTAATAAGTTTCAATTAGAGGTGTTATCCCTAGGTCCCAAATTTAGTGATTATGCTCCTAAAGTTGATCAATTAGACACTGATATACAGTTTGAAAATTTGTATTCTCAAACGTCAGATCTTACCCCATCGTCGGACGATGAACTAACTAGGTTCAAAACGACGCTAGTGGACAGCTGCCAGCAATACAAGAATAATAAACATTCAGTAAATAGTCTTTTATCTAAACAACACAGAGAAGCTCTAAGAGAACTTAGAAGCAACGAAAGTTTAATCATTAGCAAGCCGGATAAAGGTGATGGTATAGTTTTACTGGACAAAAGCGATTATGTTGAGAAAATGGAAGGTATTTTGAGTGATCAAACTAAATTCCAATCGCTTGGTGTTTCCAAAGACCTCAATGTAAGAGCTGAGAAACAAATGACGACTCCCTCAAAAAACTGAACCAAATAGGAGTATTATCATCAACCACGTATGAGTCCATGAAACCTACGGGTACCAATACTCCACGTCTTTACGGTCTACCAAAAGTGCACAAACCGGGTCTTCCTCTTCGCCCTGTTTTAGATATGTATAACTCTCCATTTCACGGAACAGCGAAGTGGTTAGTTAAGATCCTGGGTCCTTTGCACAGAGAAATGTGCAACATAGAATTAGTGATGTTTTCGACTTTATTTCTAAAATATCCGAGACTAATGTGAGGTGTAAACGCATGTTATCCATGGATGTATCATCACTATTCACTAACGTACCGCTTTTGGAAACAGTGGATTATATTTGTCAAGAAATCACCGATAGGCAATTAGACTTAGGAATCCCCTTGTGTAGCCTCAAAGAATTACTTCTTAAATGCACAATGAATGTTCACTTCGTCTTCAATAATTCATACTATCGACAAGTAGATGGAATAGCTATGGGTTCACCATTAGGCCCAATATTAGCTGACTTCTTTCTCGCAAAACTTGAAAACGGGAAATTGAAGGATACCATCAAGGAGTTGGATATGTATTACCGATATGTCGATGATACATTTATCTTAGCTGATGAGAAGGTTAACATAGACGAGTTGCTACTTAAATTCAACAACATCCACCCTTCGCTTACCTTTACTTGTGAAGAGGAGCAGGAGAATAAACTACATTTCCTGGATGTCTTGCTAAGTAGGAGAGAAGATGGGTCACTTGGGAGAAGTGTGTACAGAAAAAGCACATTCACAGGGCAGTACACACACTTCCTTAGTTACGTGCCCATTAAATATAAAAGGAATCTTGTAAAATGTCTCGCGAGCAGAGCAAGGAAGATATGTACGGAGGACCTCTTACAAAAGGAATTTGAATATATTCACGATTCCTTGACGGAGATGGGTTATCCGAGTAGTTTCATAAAGAAACATATGAAACCATCAGAGAAAAAACCTGTGACTCTGACTGCACATAAGAAACCTCTATTTATTAAGTTACAATTTAATGGGGACTTATCTAGTGAGATTCTATTCCAAAGACTTTCAAGGAGCATACGTAGAACATTTTACGCAGCACACCTATGTTTGTCATTCTCTAGCCGACGAATGATTGGGACGCAAACGAAGGATAAGCTTGATAGTTTTGCCACATCTATGTGTATTTATCAATTCAACTGCACCTGCGGTGACAGTTATATTGGGCGTACTACTAGACAGCTTAGCCAACGTGTTAGTGAACATCTCCCATCGTGGTTTGGCAAAGGACAGACAAAAACAATCCGTAGCTCAATTCTGTCACATCTAATTGATAGTGGTCATGTAGTCGATAAAACGAAAGCCTTCAAAGTAATTCATCGTATCCCTCCGAATCTTTCTAATAGACTTCGTATTCGTCTACTGCACACAGCTGAGGCGATAGGCATTCGAACTATTAAACCTAAACTATGCATTCAAAAGAAGTTCGTGCAGCCATTATCCCTCCCGTGGCCTAATAAGACATAACCAACGAAAGACTTCTACACCACCCCTTATTTATATTTCCAACCCCTTTCTTATCATCCCTTAATCTTATCTTATCTTTATAAACGTGTTTCATTTCCTTCCCCTACAATCTAACATTACGTAATCGGTTCATTTGTTTTTACTAGCCTTTATCGACTACTTCCACCTGAACAATTGTTTGTTTAATCATACTGTTTTTCATTATTCGTGTTATCACAGATTGCCTCATTTTTTCATCCTTATTATTGATAAGACCATTATTATTATTATTACTGCTATTAACATTATCATTACTACTATTATGACTAATTGCACAATTTATTAATATCAGTAAAAAGTTTGAGCATTGTGGATTAGATCAAATAAAGTATAATTATATTTTAATAGTTTACACACAATGATAAGTTTTGTTCATAGGAACTGTGATCAAGATTTGATCGGATAGTTGCAAAATAATTGAGCGCTGAGTGAGAAGTATACATTTATAAAGTTATATATATTAAAAACAAGATGTGTCCCTTTATATATAAACTTTGTTATGTTAATTTCGATTAATTTCCCTGAAGAAGTTCGGACCAGATTGCCGACCGAAACGTTGGAATTAATCATTTCAATTTCGCTGAGATTTTACAAATATAACTTTATAGATAAGTTTTGTTATTGGTAATATTTCGAGCAAAATTACTGCCCGTGTTCACACCACTGTTGGAATTGTTTTGTTCCAACAATTTATATTCACCATCGTATTATCCTGTAGACAAAACACCATGGTTGGTTTATATTTGAATTTTTATTTGTAAACTTATATATATTAGAGTTAAGCCTGATGAGATCTAATTGAAAACAATATTGTTCGCTTAAATGTGTTGTTCTAAATTATTGCCTTATTAGTATGGTATGAAACAAGTGACAAATGTAAAACAAACGAGGAATGATTGAAATTTTAGGTTGTAGTACTTATATATGTACATAGCCTGATGGATTGTAGAGGCGATGAGTTTTTCTTAGTATTATTGATGAAGCAATGTTTTAAAAATGAAAAAAGATGATTTTTAAGCGAGGAATACTACTTTTAATTAAGTCGGTCTCAGGTTTTACTTCAGTCATATATATATATATATAATTTTAACCGATAGTGGTGATTTTTCGCTTAGTGACAGTTGTTATACGTTGTGAATTATACAGATAATAACATTGTCGATGACAATAATCGTGATAATGATATGTATAATTACAAAAGTGCAAGTACCCTACAACAATTGCCTTTATTTCCTAAGTTACTTCTTCCCTCTTTGATATGTTGATACAGATAAATTATAGTTAGCAAAACTGTCATAACCATACTTGTAAAATCATATATTACATTCAAAATACTCTGTGAATCAGCGTACAACCATTCTAAAAGTAGCTGTCACGAATGAAGATAAGAATAGTAAAGATGGCATAATAATTTAAGCATTAGAATAACTAAATTAGGTAATACTAAGATTATCCTGCCGAATTCTTATAGATTTGGATATGCGTAAAAGACGTGTTCAAATTACGCCCGAAAGGTTCTATAGAATACCACAAATAACATATATTATAGACTTATAAATCACCGCTATTGTTTACAGTTTTACATACATATTAGAAGAAAGCGTGATAGGACGGTTAAAGTGAAAACAGTATCGTATACAGTCTAGGGGAGATGGCTAAACCCTGATTCCAAACCTCCAACGACTGGCGTATGAAGCTCACCGGCAGACGTATGGACAAAGGGCTTATTGGATGCCCTGGATGTCTGGCCCCATTCAAAAAGGCGTTTGAACCGGACTCCGGTCACCGACTGCCAATGGATAGTGGACTCCTTACTCCACTCCTACTGCCTTGTAGGTCACAATTGGTTATGTAAAGGCTAGAGCTGCACTCTCAAACAAAAGGCCGAGCGATGCTGGGGACATCACTCGTACCCAATTCCCATGAAACTTCATGAGTTCATGAAGCCCGCTTATCCTCCCGTAGGAGATAGCCGAAGTAAAGTAAGTAAGTAGTAATAATTCTCATAAATAACCATTCCAACACTCATAACAAATTACTGTCGAATTCTTCAACCACGCAAAATGAAAAAAGTGGTTCATTAAAACAAAATTATGAAGTATGGTATACAGTGTCAACCAGATGTTAGGTAGGAGTAAGAAAATATTTCCTCAGAATTGTAAAAGCTGACAACTACTGATTAGTGAAATTACTGTTGATAAAAATTCAATCCTACAAGTTGAAAAAAATGTGACGTACTTTATAGTAATATTAATAAAAACCAAGTGTTTCAATTTGACTTACGTTCCTTATTAATTTCCATATGTCTCCATGACCCTGATTTCTGATCTTTTCTTGAGCGCCTCATTTTATAACCACTGCAGGTACTGCACAAATGGCACAGTAAACGTATCACTTTGCACAAGTTTTGTTCTTATATAAAGACAGTTGGATTAGTGTCTTTCGTTGTCGAAATCATACAATACTAAGATTTCTTTCAGATAGTGTAGAATATCTGGTACTGTTGATCATATTTTTATGTAATAGTCTATTATTAATGTCATCTATTTTATGCAACATAATTTCTGTAATAAAGAGGAGAAAAAGAAACAGAGGTCATTTAAAAAAAAATAATAACCACTCAGTTAAATATTATATGTAAATGAAATACAGAATAACTTCTAAAGGTTTATACCCCTATACGTTCAAAAGCAAGTTTTAAGGTCCATAAAAATTTGTAAGGATATTCACTTTTAACCATAATGCATTCAAAAATACGAAAAGTAAGTATTTTACACAGGTTTCTTTTTATCAATGAAATGTTACATCTTATTAAATCAGACGGTTTCTGACTTTTCTAAGAGATCAAGAAATAATTTGTCGTAGTACATAAAGTATGGAGTCTTCTGCAATTAGAGTTTATAAACCCAATTTCTTTGTATGAAAGAAAATTATGGTCACTTTCTCTTAACCTCATCTAATTAACTTACTTGCTAGTTTCCTAGCCAATCCAAGACCGGGTGAAGAAGGAGGGTTGGATGTGCGGGCTACCAACCTCACATCCCTAACACTGTCATACCGCTAGAGAAACCTCAACGCGCAGAAACTATATTAAAAATACAAAAACTTCAAATAACAATCTTATTCTTCGATCGAATCGGAGAGGAAAAATGACACAACGGGCTCTTAAAAGCCTTCGCGTAGTCAGTCAGCAAGCAAATGTGTCGTCTCTAGATGAAGGCGAGAATAAGAATGCGGACGTGGAATGTCCGTACAATGTATGAGGCTGGCTGGGAAGGCTGCACAGGTAGCCAAAGAAAATACGAAGATATGGCATAGAAGTGCTCGGAATTTGCGAGAGCCGACGAAATCGTCAACTCGACAGTCAGAAATCTACAACGCTTTGGTCACCCACACGACAACCACCAGCATACTGAGGAAGACAGTGGCCATAGCGATTTCACCAGTGGCAGCCAAAGCTTTAATGCAGAGAGAACCAAGCTCATCCAGGATACCAATAGTAAGATTCAACTCAGAAATAAGGAAGGAATTTTACAATTATCCAATGCTATGCACAGTGCTACAAACAACGCGGAACAAGAGAAGAAGAAGAAAGGCTTTTACACACAACTACAAACAGTAATGGAAAACATCCCGAATGGTAACATCAAAATTCTCACGGGCGATATGAATGCCAGCCAAACTGGGAGTAGACAATACGGGAAGAGATCTCATCATGGGTTGAGAGGCTCTCGCTCGGGGAAATGAATCAGAACGGAGAATTACTCACAGACTTCTGTGCTTTCAGTGATCTAATGATCGGAAGGAGCGTGCACAAGCACAATAAGACACATACAAAGCAACATGGACTCAGGATTTCATCATGAGCTGACATTAGTTATTGAACCATTGGAAAACCTGGGAGCACTGAACAGCTGTTTCGTCCTAGTTTGGGACTCTTCATCAGTACGCACCCACCGGGATTCGAACCCAGGACCTTCCGGTTACAAGGCGAGCTCGTATACCATCAAGCCACTGGGACCCGATCCAATGGTCCTTGAATTCTAACTTCTGCCAATTCACGACATAGCGCGACCGCTAGCCAATGTCTTCGGCGAGTATTTGTCCCCACACCCGACCAGCTGCACCCTACTGCTCACGACTTCCCCCTGGAACATGGATTTCGCCTGACAGACACATCAATTACCAGATAGATTTCATACCAATGTTGCTCAAGAATGTGAGACACAGCCTGATGGAGACAAAGTTGAGAAGAGGAGAAAATGTAGACTCAGACCACATTCTGGTTGAAGGAACCTTGAAGGTGAAGCTGAAATCCTTCAGAACAGCTGGAGACGGGCCACTGTGATTCAAGTTCAACATTCAGAAACTGAAGGACAAAACTGCAAGTGTTGTCCGCACTACAGATAAAATCACAACAAACTCGGAGACACTACGTGTTATCAACGAGGAAACCTGCGTGGAAGAACATTTGGACTCACTGTCAGAAGACAATATTCAGGGAAACGTGTACAACTGTCCTAGGAAGAATGGCTCCCAATGGACACCCACCTGGTAGTTAATAGAAGAGAGAAGAGGAGGATGTTGGAAGAGAAGATGACTCAATGCAAAGATGGACAACGGAGGGAGAAACTGAGTCCAATGTACACCGCACTGAATGAAGAAGTGAGGATGAGTGCTAGGAAAGATAAAAAGACAGTTCCATGACACACTGGCTGGCGACTGGAGCAGAACAGGCAAGTTGCAGGGAAAAGAGATGTAAGAAAATTATACCAGATAAACAGGTCTCCGTCGGGGAGGAGATCAACACAGCAGAAACCTGGAGATGTTCAAGGGGACCTGATTACCAGGAAGGGAGAAACAAATAAGACGAGGTGTTGATCACTTTAAAGAATTCTTGAATCGACAACCACCTGCAACTCAGCCAGAAATGCCAACAACAGAACGCACAGAACTTCCCGCCAGTGGAAACCACCCCTCCAACGAAATCAGAAATCCTAAATGCGATCAGGCTACTAAAGGACAGCCAGGAAGATGGCAGGACTAGACGGAATCGCCCCCCCCCCTGAAGCACTGGAAATGGAACGAGAGACTGCGGCAGATGTACTCACACCACTACTGAAAAAGGTTTGGAAGGAAGGAAAGGTACCTACTGATTGGAAGAAAGGCTGGCTACCTCATCAAGCTGCCTAAGAAGTGCGATTAGGCCAGTGCGAGTACTGGAGTGGGATCATTCTCTTGTCCACACCGAGTAAAATGCTAGGTCGAATCATCCTCGAGAGAATAAAGGATCCACTGGACACAGAACTCCTCCCACCACCCGGAACAAGCTGGCTGGATTCAGGTAAGGCAAATCGTGTGCTGATCAAATTGCAACTCTACGCATCATCATCATCACACAATAAAGCACAGAATGACAGTCAAACCCCTCCCTACTTCAACTTTATCGACTTCGAAAAGGCCTTTAGCAGACAGCGTTGACCGGGAAGTAACTTGGAAGCTACTTCAACTCCACAGAGTGCAGTGCTCAAAATCATTGTTGACCTCATTCAACGGCTGGCTATATGATAGTGTTACGTGTCAGAGGGCCCACAACAGAAAACAGCCAGGCGTTCGAAGTGAATACAGGAGTAATACAAGGCTGCCCATCTATCATCACCGATGGTATTCTTAATTAAGGTGCTCCAGTGAGTCAGAGAGTACGTGGGAGTCAGAAGACAGAAATATGTTGAAGTGGCTGCTAGGAAGACTCTAGAAGATCTGGATTTCGTGTGTGGATGATTTATACCTAATGTTACACAAACTCGAAGGCTTACAGGAGAAAACCAACAAACTGGCAGAAGAGGTGAGGCAGGCAGCGAAGACAAGACTCCAGGTGAACATAGAGAAGACGGAGGTGATGAAGATTACCAACCAACAGCAGTAGCAACAACAACAACAACCAGCACCAATTACCATCAACGGGAGAGATGGTACAGAGGTTACCTCCTTCACTTATCCAGCCAGGAACCATCGTTTCAACCACAGGTGAACGAATGATTTCAAAGCAGGCCAGAATCGGAAGGGCAAGATACGCCTTCATCAATCTGAAACCAATTTGGGAATATTCTGGACTCCATAGCATGAGGAACAAGATTCGGATTTTCAAAACAAATGTAAAGTCAGTCAGTTTTTCTATACGGGTTAGAAACTTAGCCAGCGTATCAACAGGTTGGAGACTTTCACCAACAGCTGCCTTCACTGGCTCCATACTGAAGATCAAATGGCCGACCAGAAAGAATTAGTAACAAGGAACTGTGGGAAGAAAGCAGCTAAGAGGCGATCACTCAACAAATATATAGGAAAAAATGGAGATGAAGCGGGCACACACTAAGGAGGTCGTTGTGTGACATCACACTCCAGGCCATCGCTGTAATCGAATCCCAATGTAAAGCAATGAGTGGGTCGGTCGAGGGTGACATGGAGGAGATTGTATGAGGAAGAGATGAGAGGTTGGTCAATCGTAGATTTAGCTGAAGAGGACGGCAGAAAATAGAAGAAAGTGGAGATGTATTGTTGAAGCCCTACGTTCCACTCCGAAGCCTAGGAAACAATAATAATATCTTTCTTTTACTTATTAGCTGTCATCATAATTATTTCACTCCGTCTCCTATTAATATTCTTGTCTCATTTAGAACTATCCTTTGTAAGTACCATTGTCTTAACTCATTTTCATTATCTTTATTATTATTTCGTTTTCAATTCCCTACGCCTTCAAGTTCTTCCTGTGAAAACTAATTGTTCATTATAGTGGCATACGTGAATCGTGATCTATTTTAGTTTAATCGCTTCTCCAATATCTATCCTTACTTGACCAGCAAAGCATTCTCACCAGTCGTTTCCCATGGTCGATTCAATGTATTTTATTTATTCATCAGTTATATATCCTCTCGGTGTTTCTAATACTATATAGGTTAGTATCAGAAATTCAACTAAAGTCGAATGAAGATGCACTGTATTACTTGAAAAATAATAAGGATTCATATTTTTCAATAATAGGTGAAATATAACATCTCGTACCTACAGATTTTATGCACTAGTTATCATGAAACGCAAATAGGTAAGCTATATTCACTCAACGACACTAACATGAATATGCTATCTTAGTGAACAAGAATTATTTTTAAACACGAAGTACCCTTGATAAACCCTTGATATTCCAAGAATTTTTGGTGTTTGACATAAACTACTTCTATGTATACATATAGAGAAATTTTAAAAAACAACAACAGTAAATCATGCTGTTGTAGTGTACAGTTTTAGTTGTTGAAGTTGGCCACAAACTACGCTAAGTAGATTCGAATCTACAACACATGATGGAAGAAAGATTAACGTAAACCAATTCATTAACCACAAATAACGGTGAAAATCAGTGAACCACAATAAGAGATAATTGAACAATTAATCAAAATATTATGTAATATAGAAATGAACATTGCCTATAACATTTTTTTATGATATTGAAGACAGTGTTGTTAAAGGGATTTTAAATAATCTAATTATTGAAAAATTGGTTTCCAATGCC